GAAAGAAAGAAAGAAAGAAAGAAAGAAAGAAAGAAAGAAAGAAAGAAGGAAAGAAAGAAGGAAAGGAAGGAAGGAAAAGAAAGAGGAAGGAAGGAAGGAAGGAAGGAAGGAAGACACCAAGGCCCTGTCGGAGAAGAGCCATCCTGGGATCATTGGTGTGCCCAGTGCCCTTTCCACCTAGGTCCTCCCTTTCATGTCTCATGCTGAGCTGGAGCCAGGGCAGGATGAAGGGGGACCGCCACTTCTCATCCCTTCTGCTTCTTTTCTTTGGAGCCTCCTGGTGGCTTCAAATTATGGCAGGACAAACTGGAGCCCATCTGAGAGGTTCAGAAACCCAGGCCACAGCAGGAAGTGTTTTGGGTTAAGGCCTTTCAGCAGCAATATGCTTTGGGGGACAAGGCTGGGAGCTGCAGCAGGGAGACCACCGCTCATCACCATCATCATTTCCGGCTTCTAAGCACAGGTGGCACTGCCCTGCTTGACTTTCTCTCTTCCTGCTCATGCCTTTTCTGGGCTTTGGTTGGGAGAAAGGGAGTGGGGTGGTGCTGGGTTGGCTGGGATCTCCTAGGCGGTCGGTCAGTCTCCCCAGTGATCTTGAGCTGAAGGACTTGCTCGTGGCCTTTTGTTCTGGGTCATTACCTCTCCAGGCTCCGCTGGGAGTGGGTGAAAGAGAAAAGCTCCCTTCTGGGTTGGTAGAGTTGGGGCTCAGGGAAGTCCTCTCTAACTTTCAGGTGTGATAGCACCACTCTCCATAGCGCTTCCCACAAGCCGCCCCCCCCACACCGTGCTTTTACTCTGACCCCCACAAGAGCTCTGAATAGCAACTGAAGGGAGGCTTGTATTGTCAGCCCCATTTTCAGAAGGGAAAGGAGGAGGTCCCGAGAGGGTAGTGCTTGCCAAAGTTCTGGCTCTGACAGCAGCAGCTCCACTGGTCCACAGCACAGGCATGCAAGCACATAGTTGAGGTAGTTATGCTGTTTCCAAGCAATTCACCATTGGGTTCCTTAAGGCAGGAGGCTCTTGAGCACTTTGAGGTTCAGAAACAACACGGGGGCCCCACTGACCCAAGGCAGAGCTGTTGCGCCAGGCAAGGTCAACTGCATTTATTTATTGAGCAACAGCACTACACCAGGCCCAAAGCCTTGGACCCCCTTCCTGTCCCTGCAATGGCTCTCTTGGCCCTCCAAAAAAGCCTGTGTGTGCAGAACAGGACAGAGGGTTTCTACAAGCTTACATGGCAAGCCCCAAGGGTTTTTCATTTCAGCAAGAGAGCCCGTGCAGGCTGGGTACAGGCCGGAAGCGAACATTGGTCTGACCTCTGAGCCCTTTGTGCCCTCCTGCAAGGTGGCAGGAAGGTGGGACCCCAGAGTTCTCGGAATGGGAGCCTCCCCCCATCTACCCACCTTTCCCTGCATCCTCTCGGGGAACAGGAACAGCCTGGTCCTTCAGGGAGGGATGGATTTGGGGGCCTCTGAGTTGGAGTGGGTCATATTGCATTGTGTTCATGACCACATAGCTCATGTTGGAAATTAAAGTTTTTGGCTTTTTTATCCTGGTTTTGCTCTTGCTTTGCATCGAGACAATTCTGTCTGGGAAGATAAAGGACATGCTGGTATTTTAAGGGGCGGCTGCTCTAGGATGCCAAGGTGCCTCCCATGGGCTTGCTAATATCCTCTGTGGGCAGAAGCCTGCATCAAGAAGCTCTGCCACAGGTCCCCATGTGAAGCGGGCTCTTCAAATGAACCCCATCTTACCGGTGGAGAAGCTAAGGCTCAGGAGAGTGATGAGGATCCCAATGACACATTGCTGGTGATTGGTGGGACCCAGAATGAAATTTATCCCACAGCACTGAGCTCACTATAGGTGATGACATGGGGAGGGCCAACCCTTCATCCAAAAGGGGCTGGCCAGGGACAAGGCATCTACTTGACAGTGGGGACAACCATTTACACATGGGCTAATTCCACTCTTCAGGGAGGGCAAAGAGAATGTTGTCATCTATATAGTGCAGAAACTGCCCACTGTGAGCCACAAGTCCCCTTCAGTCTGTCTCTCTCTCCGTGCTTTTAGCGTCCAGCCTCACTGTAGAGGGATTCTGGTGTTTAAAGTTAATGCCTTTCTCCTGCACGGTGTCAATGTCCTCTTCAGGGCAGATGATAGTTAGCCCCTTGTCATCTTTTGAAGGGCCAGATGGGGCATCATCCCTCCTACGGGCTAATGGCCACATCTTCCTACAATTTTTGACTAAACAGTTTACACTCCAGGTGACTGTAGAGTCTCGGCTTGTGCTGTTAGTGAAGCATTCGTATATTTCTAGAAGGGATGATCCACAGATGGGAACGGGAGCCTCGGTCCTCTCCCAGCCGGAGGAAGGGTGGGTTTGCTAAAAGGTGGGGCTAGACATTGGCCAGGCTTGGCCCGGGTAGGTACTGTCAGATGGATCTTCTCCGGGCTCGGGGTCTGTCTGAGCTGCTGCGGCAGTGGTGCAGGGCTTCTGGACTCAGGGGAGGCGAGAAGGCAGGGTTGTCACAGGCCCAGGCCTCCAGCTGATGGGAGCGGTGAGAGATGCTGGTGGAGGCCCTGAAGCGGACGCGTCTCTCGGGCGCCCCCCTGCGGAACGCGCTGGCGCGGGGGGGCTGAGCGCTCAGGGGCGTCGGCGCTGGCGAGGAAGCGCAGGACCACCAGGTTGAGGAAAGCACCGATGACCGTGAGCCCCAGCAGGATGTAGAGGAAGCTGAAGGCCACGTAGGGCGGCTTCCTCTGCAGCGCCTCGTCTCTCTGCAGCGCCACGAAGTCGCCGAAGCCGATGGTGGTGAGGGTGATGAAGCAGTAGTAGTACGCGTGGAAGAAGGTCCAGCCCTCGAAGTGGGCGAAGGTGGCGGCGCCTAGGGCCAGGGTGGCGGCGCACAGCAGCAGCCCGGCCACTACCATGTTTTCTGCGGAAACGTGCGGCCGCCGCAGGCCCAGGCAGCGCTTGGCCGCCAGCAGCAGGCACCGCACCAGAGCGTTCAGACGCTCACCCAGGCTCTGGAAGGTGACCAGCGTCAGGGGGATGCCCAGGAGGGCATAGAACATGCAGAAAACCTTGCCCGAGTCGGTCCCCGGTGCAGCATGGCCATACCCTGTGAGGAAAGAGAAACGAAGTGCTGAGAGCCCAGGCTGCCCCAAGGTGCTCTCAACCCTGGGCCTACCTGTCCCCAGCAGCTCCAAGCCCTTCCTATGTCATCCCCATACTCTGAACCCCCGCATGTCCCTCCACCTTAGGGGTGGATAATGGACCCCTGGTCCTTCAGAACCACAGAATTCTGTTGGGCCATCTTCTGTTTCTAGTGGTAGTGAAGGATGGATCTTAAGTGGATTTTGCTCAGTGGAGGAAGCCCAGCCTGAAAGCATAGACCCAGTGACAGGATGCTCTGGAAACAACAGTTAAAGAGACAGAACAGCTCTGCGGCTGCCTGCCCTAGAGGCTGAAGGACTGCAGAAGGGCGTGAAGAATTTGGGCGGTACAGGAGGGGTTCTGTGGCTTGATCTGCAATTATCAGACAGGTACAGAAAATCTGAGCAAGTTATCAGCTGGTGGAGAGGGAAGGGAGACAAGCCTTCTGTGGCTTCCTAGCCTCTCCCTGACTGCCCAGCCTCACTCTGCCCCTCACCTCCCCACTCCTCAGCCTCCCCCCTCTGCTCACCTCCCCCCTCACTGGCCTCACCCTTCCTCTCATCTCCCCAGAATCAGCCCTCTCTCGCCTCCCCACTCCCCAGTCTCTCCCCTCCTCTCCAATCCCCAGCCTCCAGACTCCCCCCCCCCCCTTTACACCTACACTCTCCAGTACACCCTGTTGTTTCCCTACTAGGAAGTCAGCTCCTACACACGCCTTCTTTCATATTTCTTCCTCCTTGGACTGGCTTCTCTCCCCTTCCCAGGCCCATGCTCCCTTCAAATCCCTCCTCACCTTTGCCACCCGGTCAGCCTTCATGGCTCTTTAGGGTTGACAGAAAACAGCACTAAGAGAAACTAAATCAGGGTCTGGGAGATAGCTCAGTTGATAGAGTGTTTGACTAGCATGCCTGATGCCCCAGGTTCGATTCCCAGGATCACCTAAAAGACAAGCATGGTGACACACACCTGTGTTCCCAGCGCTTGGGAGGCTGAGGCAGGATGACCAGATGCTCTCTGTCATTCTTACCTACACAGTGATTTTTGAAGCCAGTCTGGGCTACACGAGGCTCTGTCTCAAAACACACATACACACACACACACACACACACACACACACACACACACGATATACTAAATGAAAAGGGTAGGAATAGTTAGAATAGTAGCTGTACTGTAACATCCACGTGACTCATGTGGCGTTTAAAGGAACACACACACAGAGCATGTGGCTAGAAGTATGCAAGAGACAGGTAAGACGTATGTGAACCAGGGAGATGAATGGGTGGGTTAAGAGACAGGATAGAGATTCAGAGAGACGAAAGGTGACATGTTTCCTCTTTCATGTGGAGGCTAGAGTTTTTAAATGTGACATGGAAAGTAGAAGAGGGAGCACTTGGGGAGAGGAGGATTCCAGGGGAGGAAGACGACAGAAAGAAGTGGGGTGTGTATAATCAGAGTACCTGATGAATGTGTGTGAAAGTGTCTCAGGAGACGCTGTTGTTCTGTACAATTAATACACACCAATAAATAAGACTTCCAGGAAAATGGGGGGAAGGGTAAGAGCTAGTTTCCTCTTCATTCTGTACCCCTTGCTACTCTATGAAACATTCAACGTGAACATATAATATTCAAAAATCTCGATGTCACATGAGCAGTTAAAGCCTCCTCGTAGTCCCAGGGGAGGGATACCCTCTGCCCATCACTCCTCTGAGCTCCTTGAGGGCAGGAGGCATGGAAGCCATTTCTGTGCATCCTGAGTCACCCATCCTCTCTCTGCATAGACACAGTTAACTGACTCAAACCAGACGGGAGGAGGGGGAAGATATAGGGAGACAGAGCCCTCCTAAGACTAACAGGCCAGGGAGTGCCGCTTTCATCTCCTAACCCTGCTTTGTGATAAAGAACCCAGGCTCAGAAGGGGGAACTTGTGCAAAGGTCCCAGAGCCTGAGCTATTAGCCCCAGCTCCTCTGTGCTCCTTGATGCCTTTCTTCTGCTACTGCAGAACCTGAGCCTCTGGACTTCAGGGGCCTGGCTTCCTGCGAGGTTTTGTTTTGTTTTGTTTTGTTTTGTTTTGTTTTTAAGCAGACAGTACCATAAAGCAGGTGGTGGCGCCCCCAAGTGGCCAGAAAAGGAAACATTTCCACTTTCTATTCCTTTTTGGTTTTGGTTTTGTTTGGTTGGGTTTGTTTGTTTGTTTGTTTGTTTCCCTAGCTTGGGTTTTAGTTCAGCAAGTGAGGAAGCCAAACCTGGCTGTTAGGCCTTCGGAGAACAAGGAAAAGGGCAGAGGGGCAAAAGCTTCAGACAAGGCACAACCTCTGAAGGCATGATAAATGGGAGGGTCTTGAGGTTGGGGCTTGGACGCAAGAGAGGGCAGAAGTGTTGAATGGGAGCTGGCTTTCTACTTGGCAAATAATAAATTATTACTAGCAAATAGTGGCTGCACAGTCCAGGGCACCATGGTGGGCTCTTTACACACCTGACTTCACTTTAAACCTGGCATTCACCCGGCAAGGTAGAACATTTGCCATTTGCCTTTTGCCTTTGACAAAACGGCATCAAGGGGGCACCGTCACTTGCCTGAGAAGGCAGGTGGCAGGAGGTGCCCAGAACTCAGGCTTTGGGTCGCAGGTGTGCTTAAAGCCACGGCTCCTACGCAGGTGCATTCCCCAAGGTGTGGGCTTCTGGTCTGCTCATCTGAGGCCACAGGGACACCTGGCAACTACAGCTGCAGCCTGGCCCCAAGTAGCCAGCAGGTCGGAAGCCCTGGACAGTCCGCTTCTCTCCTTTGCAGGTTCCCGGCCGGGGCTCAGACTCTCGGGTCCTGGCCAGAAGTGGCTATGGCAACAGCTGGAGTCCAGATGATATGTTATGCACGGGAGCAATTCTGGATGCCCCCACGTGAGGTCAAAGGTTTTGGTAATTAGTCATTCCCTTAACAACTGGACGCCCATTAGGCTCTAGGACGCTAGCCACATAAGAGTCAGAAGGCAAAGGAGAGAGCTGTTGTCACGGGGTTAACAGAATAATTGCTATTATAATTTTAAAAAAATCTTATTTTCATAGTGTTTTCTGTGGGTCAGGCCCTATGCTAAAACGATCTGCACACATTATCTCCTTAATAATATTCTCCACTGGGGAGCTGGCATCCCCCCCTCCCCCTCGCAAGTTTAGCCTCCCTAGTTTTGAAAGAACACCGTGGCTCAGAGAAGTCAAGAAACTTATCTAAGGTTACACAGCCGACCCAATCCGAGAGCCCGGGGTTTCTCCTAACCACAGTCTCCAGGCAAACCCTCAACAGATGCCTGCAGAGTCCTGCAATAGCGGATTGGCCCCCTTCCGCCCAACGCACGACGAGGCAAATGAGCCTCCGCGAGCTGGCGTGTCCCTTCCAAAGCCACTTGGCGGGACAGGGGCGGAGGTGGGGCTGCACCCGAGGAGAGATCGGGACTGAGCGGGGCAGTGGGGAGGCTCGGGGTGGGGGCGGGGGGAACTCACCGATGGTGGTGATGACCGTGATGGCGAAGTAGAAGGAGCCCGCGAAGCGCCACTGGCGGCCGGCGCGGTGTGGCTCGGCCTGCAGCGCCAGCCGCTGCAGCTCGCGGTAGTCGTCGGCGGAGAAGCGGTACTTTCTGCGGAACTCGCCCCGCTTCCGAGCCAGCAGCCTCTGCCGGCTGCGCTCCGCCTCGGACTCCAGGGCATCGAAGACGGCGGCGCCCACCAGCAGGTAGGACAGGATGCACAGGATGAGCGCGGCGGTGCGCGCGCTCTGCTTCCTCATCGCGTCCCGCCGGCTCAGAGTCCCGACCTCTCGGTGCGCCCCGACGGCGCCCGCCGCTCCATCCCCCCGCGCACAGCAGGAGGGCGGGCTCTGAGCTCTCCCACAGCTCCCCTCCCTACCCCACGCAGGTGTCTGCAGGGACGTCTGGACCAGAGACCGGGCCCAGGTGTACAAAAGGCCCTCCTCCATCCCCAACTCGCCCTAGGACTTGGGGGGTCTAGCCACCCTTCTCTCTCTGTCATCTAGCAAATATTTACCAACCCCCCGGGGTGCCCAGCATTCTGAGAGTAGAAAGGGCATGCCAGCAGGCGGGGAGGATGATAAATGAGCAAAAAGATACCTTAAGACAAGTGTGACAGAGGAGGAAAATAGTGTGCTTGGGAAGCACGTGCCAAGTCATCCAGGGAGAGGAAATCCAGGCCACACATGTAGGTTCCTCGCCAAAGCAGAAGGGAGGTGACTTGGTGGCAGACAACAGCGTCGGACAACAGAGAAGCCAGTATGGCTGGCGCCAAGAGAATTGATTGGGGTGCAGGCTGGGGAGAGAGGCGGGAGAAACAGACAGAAGCAACTTCTGCAGATTCGTTTTTAATTTAATTTTTACTTTCTATTTGCCGGTATGCATGTCTGCCGGCCGCTTGCACAGTGCCCGGGGAGGCCAGAAGAGGGTAGGATCTCCTGGAACTGGAGTTACAGACGGTTGTGAGCCACCACCAGGGTGCTGAGAACCAAACCCTCATCCTCTGGAAGGGCAGGCAGTGCTCCTAACCACTGAGCCACCTTGGAAGATTCCAGGCTGATCCGTCAGGACAATCGAAAACCATGGGAAACCTCTAAGCAGAAATACACACAATTCCACCATAATCTGTGTTTGTTTGTTTGTTGTTTTTCAAAAAAAAAAAAAAAAGGCACCAGAACAAGGCATGGCAGTCCACACTTGTAATCTCAGCACTTGGGAGGCGGAGGCAGGTAGATCAGGAGTTCAAATCCAGACTGGGCTAAATGACATCATGTGTCACCATCACACCTCAGGAACACCAGGAGGCTGCCATGTGGAAAAGGAAAGATGGCAGACAGCAAACAACACCCAGATACAGGCGAAGGGGGCTAGCCTCGGACAACACAGGAATAGAAGCAGGTGGCCTGAGATACATTTGAGAGCTGGGCACACTGCAAGTCACGTTGCTTAAGCTCCCTGGCATCAAGAGGCCTCACCAGCCCAAACTTTAGCCCGTGGATCCTTGCAGAACTGACAAGTTATCCCAGGGCTGATCTCTAAAGCCCTCCCCCATGCCACGCCTTTCCCTCCCCTGCAGGCAGGATGAAGTGCCCCAAAGAGCACAGCAAGGCTGTCAGCTGTCCAGACTGACTGTTTTGAACTTCTGATCCATTATGTCAGGGTCCGAGAGTTTGGAGGGGGTCTATCTGCCATTGATATCTGATCTACCGTGATTCACAGGTCAAGAGTGACTGGTGAATCTGGGTGTGGGGGCAGAGGGAAGGACTCAGGACGGCCTCAGGGTATGGCCTGAGCTGCTCAGTGTCTGGGAAGCCTTCCACGATTCTTCTCCTTCTCAAGGAGCCCACTCCTGTCTCCAAGCAACAAAAAGACACCTTTTTCACACGTGTGCCTGTATAGAGACTTCAGGTGCGGCACCAGCTGCTCTGGGGGCCGGTTGGCCTTCCAAGGTGTCTAAGGCAGCATTGATATCATCTCGGCTGCTCATCTATAGCTTCTCACACTTGCTTGCTCCAGCCACCGGCAACTTTCAGTTCCTACTCTTGCTTGACTCATCTCAGCCTTCTCCCCATCCCACTCCACCATCATGTATTGCCTCCCTGCCAGGGGCCAGGCACCGCAGAAGTGCCATACAGGTATCAAGTGAGGTGCTTAATCACCCCAACTCAGCTGGCTCACACCCCGGCCACTCTGCTGCACTTGTTCCCCGATACCTCCGGGTGGTCTCCTCTGAGCTCCGGGAGGCCTCCGAGTACCCGCCATCTTCCATTCCTCCCACCACCGTAAGACCCTTACATTCCGAATGTGCACCAGCCCCAGGGACCATCACGTGGTCGCCAGCACTCACACCTGGTGGGCAGCACATACCTATCGGCAGTTGGTTGTTGAACTTGCATGTGTGGATTAGGAGAAGCTCGCTTCCATTGCTTCCAGAGCTTGGGCTGGGTCAAGCTCACCATCTGTAGAATGCTGGTTTTGCTTTTGTTTGTTTGTTTATTTATTTTTCTGTCTCAAAAGGAACTACCGTAGCGTAAGAACGGCCCCCAGGATTCCTACGCCTCATCAAAGGGAAGCTGAGGTCAGCTTGCCTCCACAGCGGAGATGATCTCGAATCTCCAGGTGGGACCATCGTTACCAGGAGGGTTTCTGTACCTGGAAGATGAAGGCAGGAGGGATACCCAGAGAGATGACAGCGTAGGCAGCTCAGCCTGATCTCGGGAGGAGGGCCCCTGAGGGGAGGCAAAATGGGCGACATCCAGGAGCTGGAAGCAGGCAGGAGAGAGGTCCCTGCTTAATCTCCAGGAAGGAGTGTGGACACTCCTGCCACCTTTATTCTAGCCCAAGGAGGACCATATTGAGACAACCAGAAAGCTCTTCTTTGGGGGCGGGGGGGGGGGGGGTGGGGGTTTGCATGTGTGGGGGGGAATGTGTACATGTGTGTGCATGTGTGTGCGCATGTGTGTAGAGGCCAGATGTCAATTCTGAATGTTGCTGCTCGAGGGCCGTTCAACTCTTTATTTTCTTGAGACAAGATCTCTCTTAGGATTCAGGGTTCTCCAGTTCGGGCTAGCCGGCCCCAAAGGTCGCCTGGTCATGACCTCCTCAGCTGGGATTACAAGCACATGCCACCACACCTGACTGAAAGAGTGGGTCACCGGGGATCAATCTCGGTTCCCGTGCTTGTTGCTACCACAGTGAGTGGACCCTGGCCTGCAGGGCCTCAGTTCTGCAGTGGAATTGGGGCTCAGTGCCTCTAGAGAAAGATTTGCACACCATCACCCCCCCAGAGAGCATCGGGATGGCAGCCAAGTGGCCCAGAAGCGGGGTGCTGACGCGGGAGAGCTAACACAGTTGCCACGACTTTATTTTTAGCAAGGGCATCAGCAAGTTTGTTTTTCTGATTCTTCCCTGCCTTAGAGAGGCAGAAACCTGGGCAGGAGGCTCGGGGTGGGGGCAGGGCACCCCACTGAAGAAGGGGACGAGTAGGTTTGGGGAGCATGGGGAGAAAGAGGGTTGAGAGGACGAACCTGCGCACAGCTGAGATCCACAGAGACTTGAGCTGGAATTCTTCCTCCTCCTCCGCTTTCTACCTGGCCACAGGCAGAACATTTCCCCTTCTCTGGGCTTCGGTTTCCCCATGTGAGAACCAAGACTCCAGTGCACCCCACAGAGGACCTTTAGAGAAGCTGGGGTGTGCCGCTTCCCAGGGGCCCCTGAGCTGCTAGTCTTGTTTCCTCCACTTGTCAAAGCTGTGTGTCTGCAGATGCCAGGAACTCTGTTTTCAGAGACAGAAGAGAGGCCGGAGGCTCTGGTGCCCCATGTGTGCTGGGCATTGCCACATTATCCCTGCTACAGGTCAGGAAATAAGAGCTGCCCACCTGCCATGTCCCTGTAGCCCTGCCTGAGGCAGGACTTGAAAAGGGGGTACTCGGGTTCCGAGGGCACCGGGTGCTGTTGGACATGTTAGCCTTCCGCCGGCCCTGGGGACCTTGCTTTCTTCATCTGCAGGGTGGCTACAAGAACCTTGGTAGAGCTGTCCCACCGCTGTGAGGACCCTGTGACACAAAGCTGAGAGGTGTCTTGTCAGGTGTCCCGCTGGAGTGGGGATAATTGGGGCCACGGAGACACTGTTTGGTCCTGCCAGGCAGGTGACTTTTTCCTGTGCTTGGCATTTTTGGTTCAGCAGCTCTATTTTAAGCCAGAGGAGGCTAGAGTTTGTGTATGTGTGTTTCTCAGCTTGGAAAGTCATCTGCTGAGCAGACACCAAAAACAGAACTCCCTAAGGCACTCCTCTCAGCTCCCCTCCTTCTGTCTACCCTCCTGCTCACCCCGCTTGGGGACCTGAGGAGACCTGGTGATTTTCCTCTGTCGCCTGGTGCTAGCATAATCCTTACGGCCGTTCAGTAAGGCCTGGATGTTCCTTTAATGCTGGCAGCCTTTGCCACTCCCATGTTTCGGAAAGGAAGCTGAGGCCCAGAATAAGAGAAAGGACTCATCCAAGGCCACACGAGAACAAGTGATGCGCAAGGGCCCAGAATGGAGTAGTTAGTTATCTGAGAGAGCCGTGCCTGGGAGCCATCTTAGACATGTGACTTCAGCTCTCTGAGCCCTGGTTTGCCCATCTCTGCCCTAGCAGATGGGTATGAATATCTGCCTGACAGGATTCTAGTCAGGACCAAAGAAATACAGATACAATACAATACAGAGTCTCACCAGCAAGCGACAGGGCCCCTCCACCCAACCAGTGTCTTCCCTGCCTCTTTCTTATTGCTCATTCTGAAGGGCTTTGGGGATCATAAGAAATTGATTTTTCCAGTTAGAATGCAGCTCAGTGATTTTCCAGGAGGCCAGCAGGCTCAGACCTTTCCCGTGGTAAGATCCCTCTGTGTTCCCCTTAACAGAATCGGCTGTTTTCACCCCAGGGGACATCATTGGATGCTCCTAAGAGAACAGCCGTGGCTTGTCTGCAGCCTGACTGTCACAACTCCAGGATCTGGACTGTGCAACATGAAAAGCCACCTCTCCCTACACAAAGGGTGCTGATGACAGGATAGGTTAGGAGATGTCCCAAATGTTGTGGCCACTGGAAGACAAACATTAATCATTTCTGGAGAATGAGAAAGAGAGAGAATCTGCAGTCACATCCACACTGGAAGGTACCACTGTTCCCAGGATGTTATTTAGGGGGCAAGTGGCAACTGTGCAACTGTGTGAGCATGCTCCCTCTCTGGCTTGCGGTCTCATCCAGGCTGCAGTCCTG